AAAATCCCCCCCTCAAAAAAAACTTTTTTTAAATTTCTTTTATAATTTCTCTTCCGCCTTTTCAATTTTTTATTTTTTATAATTCAAAAAATTCCAACAAAAAAAAGGGGTTGTAGGGATTAAAAATCCCTTCAACCCCGTTATTTTTACCCATTATTTAATTCAGGAAAAATGTGGCGAATTCACGTCCGCTGCGCGGACGAGGTCGGCCGCGGACGCGGCCGTATATACGGCCGCCCTCCGAGCTCGACCTCGCGGACGCGTCCGCGGGTGTTTCATAGGACGACGCTGGTCGGAGTCGGGGTGAGTCGTGTTGCCCTGTAACCCAATAGGGTGGGGGTATGAGGCCTGGAAGAGCCCGGCAGGGAGTAAGACACTGTGGGAAGAATTTTAGAAGGGATTGCTAGAGATTCTGAGGGTTTTGAGCATTTGTCGGACCTTTGTGGTGGGGATCTTTTCTAAAAGAGTTCAGAATTTGTGCAGTTTAGAAGGAAACTTCTCATAGTTTTTCTCCGCATATTCTTTCAGAAATTTTCAGACCTTTTCTGAAATTTAGCCTATCTCGTGGGGTTCTTCATCGAATAGGCTAGTAATTCAAGTTGATCATGATCCTATTTTCAGACAAAACCGGGTAAGAGTCCCGGTATCTCAAGTTTTTATGTATATGTTCTCAAACATGTTACATGTTTCAAATGGGACGTGCGGCTCCCCACGAATAGATTGGAGCATTATTCCCCCCCCCCCCCCAAAAAAAAAAAAACCAGCTAATGACTTCAAGCTTGTCTGCTCATCGCCATTCGGTAATGTCTTTCTTCTATTGTTAAAAAAACAAAAAAGGTGTGTATGCTAAGGCGACAATCATCATTCTATCATGGCATTGAACACACAAGAAAAAATTAAAAACTTAAAAATTAAACAAATAGTGGACGCATGTTCAAAAAAGGGTGCACATGCGAAGGCCACAATCATCATTCCCTCATGGCATGCAACATTAAAAAAAAACTCAAAACACAAATAATAAACAAATAGTGAATGCATGTTAAAAAAGGGTTTACATGCAAAGATGGCAACCGTCATTCAAGCATGGCATTAAACAAAATACAAAAAAAACAAAAAACAAATATTGGACGCATGTTAAAAAAAGGGTGCGCTCTTCGCGCAGAACACAGATTGGTTTCTTATGCACTGGCTGCGAGGATAACAACACAAAAGACGACACCAGCCTAACATCTGCTTCCTCCCCCCCCCCCC